AAAAATAATAATAATATAATTTCTTATGTTTTCATTCACATCCGCTGAAAACACAAACAAAGCTCCTTGAATCGCATAAAGCAACAGCGCTCCGCCGCCAGCTACAACCATCTCCACCTCCTATTATCCTGCTCACAATCTTCCCCAGAGCTAATCCCATTACTTCCTTACCATTTATCCTTCTTTCTCTACCTGGCGGCAAGACGTGGGCGCTGTGTAAGCGCCATCACATCTGCCTGCATGCGTCCGTGTGCGTGTATGTGCGTTTATGCGTGCGTGTGCGCTTATACGGGCAAACGTTCGTGTGCGCTCATGCGGGCAAACGTGCGTGTGCGCTTATGCCTGCAAACGTGCGTGTGAGCTTATGCGTGCATGCTTGTTTTAGTGTGTGTGTGCGCGCGTCTGCATGTGCGCATGTGTGCGCGCGCAGCATACCTTCCCGCCAACGACTGGCGGCGCCGCTCGCCTCATCATAACGATAACTCCGCCATCCGACACGACGCGAATTCAGACGGATAATCTAATCTCTTCCATCCTTTGTTTGCAGAATTTCTTTCTTTCTTACGTTCTGTCTCGCAAAAATGTTGAGCTTTCGCTCTTTTTTAACAAGATTTTGTTTTAACTCAAGGACGAAATCAGCTCACTCTCTGAGTACTCTTGAGATTAGCGATAAAACTCGCTGACTACGATAAATTATGCGGGTGAGATAAGAATATAAAAATATTATTGGAACGGTTGATGGCAGGGGAATGAGAGAAAGAGGGGAGAAGGGAAGGGAATGGAAGAAGATGAGGGGAGGAAGAGGTAGAGGGGGGAAGAGGAGGAGGTATAAAAACATAAGAGCCGTCGTCGTACTCCACTCTAGCCTGCTCAACTTTATGCATTAGTCCGGAGTGGAGCAAAACACGGCTGCAGGTTTGGCCTGAGTTACCCAACTAAAAAGCCATATCGTGTCTGCTGGGAAGGCGGTGATTAGGGCCCCGTCTTCCTCTACCCGTCACCCTCAACCCTGTCACCATCCCTTCCCCTCCTCACAGTCAACCCTGTCTCCACCCCCCTCCCCCCTCACAGTCAACCCTGTCACCACCCCCCTCCCCTCCTCACAGTCAACCCTGTCACCACCCCCCTCCCCCCCTCACAGTCAACCCTGTCACCACCCCCCCCCCCCCTCACAGTCAAACCCTGTCACCACCCCCCTCCCCCCCTCACAGTCAACCCTGTCACCCCCCCCCCCTCCCCCCCTCACAGTCAACCCCGTCGCCCCACATTACATGCTCTCAGAGTTACTAAAAATAAACAAAAATCGAAAGACACATAATATAATTTTCCTCTCTTTCTTCCTTATTTCTTGTGACATTTAATACAACAGCAACAACAGCGAAACAAACAATGACCAACAGCAACAATAACAACACAAAAACAATAACTTCAACAAACAACAACAATAACAACACAAAAACAATAACTTCAACAAACAACAACAATAACAACACAAAAACAATAACTTCAACAAACAACAACAATAACAACACAAAAACAATAACTTCAACAAACAACAACAATAACAACACAAAAACAATAACTTCAACAAACAACAACAATAACTTCAACAAACAACAACATTAACAACACAACAACAATAACTTCAACAAACAACAACAATAACTTCAACAAACAACAACATTAACAACACAACAACAATAACTTCAACAAACAACAACAATAACTTCAACAAACAACAACATTAACAACACAAAAACAATAACTTCAACAAACAACAACAATAACTTCAACAAACAACAACATTAACAACACAAAAACAATAACTTCAACAAACAACAACAATAACTTCAACAAACAACAACATTAACTACAACAGCAATAAGCATAACACAACAACAATATATAACAAAATAAGAAACATCACAACAACCCCTATAACAACAAAACAATAACAAAAACAACATAACACAACAATAACCTCACCATTAACAATAACAACAATGGGACTATTTTTGCACTTCCTGCCATGCCTCCTGATCTCACGCGGTGTTATTTCCAAGTGCACATTTACAACCATATACCCTTTAATATTGGCTTGCTCTCTAGAGGGAATACAGGGTGCAGGCGAGACAGATAAGAACATAAGAACATAAGAACAAAGGCAACTGCAGAAGGCCTATTGGCCCAAACGAGGCAGCTCCTATCTATAACCACCCAATCCCACTCATATACATGTCCAACCCGCGCTTGAAACAATCGAGGGACCCCACCTCCACCCCGTTACGCGGTAATTGGTTCCACAAATCAACAATCCTGTTACCGAACCAGTATTTACCCAA